TTGCCGATTTGGATGCCTTTGATTTCTTTTTGTTGTCTGATTGCTGTGGCTAGGACTTCTAATACTATGTTGAACAGCAGTGGTGATAGTGGACATCCCTGCCGCGTTTATGTTTAATATTTTAATAGATGCTAACCCACATATTATTTAATTGTAAATAATAGTAAGTGTAACATGATGTGTATTATCCTCTTAATAGCTAAAAGGAAATTTCAAAGAAGTATATGTGGTTATATCATTTTTTGTTTAAAAATATATATTTATAAATCTACATTTATAACTAGATATATAAAAAGAATTAGAATAATCCAAAATTCTAAGCACTATTTCTAGATGATAACCTTTGGAACAATTTCTTCCTTCTTTTTGAATTTTAATTTTTTTATCAAATAATAAAGAAAACGTGTATTGTCAAGGAAAATGGAGAAAAACTATTAATAAGTAAATTTGGGTATCATTATATTAGTAGTATGCAAATTTGGTAACAATGAAACTATGTTTCTATGCATAAAAACACTTTCAATTAGGGAAATGTGAGTACTTTGATTTTTAAATTATATGTGATTATATCTATTACACTGTCTAAATATTATGACTAAACATAAAAACATATTTAAAATAAATATCTTACAACAGAAGATATTAGTATAGTCAATATCAGTTAAATTCTTTCCCAAATATAACACATTTCAACGTGAATAAATTATTAGAAGTAACACAAATGAAGATTTCATAAGAGAGGTTACTTACTTTTGATTTCACAAGAATCTTGTAGGACTTTTGTACCAATTGGGGCATAGGAAAATTTTCTTTTAAGGGAGAAAAATCAATTTTTTCATTATTTATTTGATAAAGCATATGCTCATATACAGTTGCAGATTCCAATGGCTCGATGCCATAACTGACATTCTCCAATTGCAAAAATCCCCTAGATGTTTAAACACATAAAAAGAAATAAAAAGATACTTGATATAGATTTCCCATTGAGAATTTAAATCACCACTAAATAAGAATATTTTGTAGAAATTTAATAGTGGTCTTTGCAGTCTAATGTCTAAGAATCATCCTTTCTTACATGGATAAATTTTCAAACTTAATTTTATACCATTTTCTGTCTATTATGTCATTTAGGATTATTGTGGTTGTAGTATGACTGAAGAATGAAGAATCTTCATACTAGGGGAAGTTTTCCTGAATAAATTTTATGACTGAAAGCCTGGGATGGAGACAAAGAGATAGGAAAAATGATAAGAAGAGGAGGAAAAAAAGAAAGTATATGAGAAGTAACAAAATCAAAGTCTATTTTCTTTGCCTTCACTCTATGCTTCAAGATGTTTCTAAAAATTAGAAGGTCACGCAAGATTTTCAATCATGTACATCTCTGGAATATGCCATTACCTGAGTCCAGAACAGGTGCTAAGGGTCACAGCTGATTTTGGAATTTCTGCAGCATATCCTTGATAAAAGCAATGACCCTAAACAGGAGTATATGAAGATACATTCATGAATGATTTTAAATAAAGTTTTTGATTCATCCTTACTTCCTAGACATCATCAAACATTCAGATTTAGTCATTACCATAACATTATTCACCAGATATCCCATTTCCTTGTTATCTACCCACAATCTCTTTCTTTTAACCCTCTTTTGCCAAAAAATAATCATGGCTCCTCTCCTTCCACAAAATAATTTTTTCCATAATTCTAAATTTTTGATGAATAACTTTCTTATCTGTGTCTTTTCTTTCACAGCCACACTTTTTCTTGTTTTTTTTGTTTTATGATTTTAATTTATTTTACAGTATTATGTTTAATAACTCAGTTGTAATTTTTTCCTTTTTTCAGGTTATTTAATTTTTTATTTGAGTGTAGTTAACATATCTTGAATATATAATCTATAACTGCTAACTCAATATAAATAACATCAGACTTCAAAAGTGAACATTTCATTTTTTTTCTAAGTTACCCAAAAGCACCCTGACATTTCCTCATTTTTATTTCTCTTTAATATCTCACCATATTTTTTAATCTATTTAATATCTCACCATCATTAGTTCAAGCTCTCCTCCCCATGAACTTTCAAAGCATTAGTTTGCCCAGGTTCTTCCCTAATACTCTCATTCAGTGAATATTCCCTTTTCTTCCCTTAAAAATCTACTGATATCTAGAGTCAATCTTATTCCTTTGTTAATGCTGTGCTATGAAAACTTTAGTGTCATCACATCCTCGCCTATGAATTTGGTTTTATGTTATTAGCTCCCAGACACACATCTCCATCAGGAGCCATTCACTTTTTCTCAAAACTATGCTTAACTCCTGTCCCCCACCCACTAACAGTGGCAGGGCATACCCTGCTCCATGTCAAGGAACAGCAGCAGCCCCCTCTGCCTGCACTAGTTCCAGCAGACTGCTATAAGCCCTTCACAAAAAGGTATAAGGCAAACCACATCCCAACCCTCTACCCAGCAGCAGAGAGTAGTTCAGTCTCTGTAGCTCCTGACCTTGTGCTAGGGGGAAAAAAATGAACCTCATAAGATAATTCTCAACACTCCCAATACAAAACACAAAAAGTGACCCAGACAGAAACTTCCCTCACCCAAGGGCACTAACAGAGATAGAGTGAGAAGTGCACTGACAGGGTTAGAGAAGAGCCAGAATAAATGTTCTCTATCTGATGGGACCTTCATCACCCAACCCCACCTAGCAATACAAAGGCCGAGGAGAGTACATTTACCACTATAGGCTGCACCAGCAGAGATCCAGCAGGTACTTGAGAAGAGCCAGAAGAATGAATCACAATAGAATAACATTAAAAGCCCCACAAAAAGTGAAATTGTCATTGGTACAACAAACCACAATAAATCTAAACTTAACCTGGGTTACTGTCTAAAAACTAGATTTGAATGTTAAGGATACAACCAAAAATCATATGCTATACCAAAAATGAAGAAAATCACAAGAATGAGAAAGTAAAACCAACTGATAACAATACTGAGATGAGCCACACTTTGGAACTAACAGATTTTAAAGTAGCTGTGATAATATTGCTTCAGTAACCAGTTACAAATAATCTTGAAAAAATAAAAGAGCAGAAAATATCAGAAAATAAATAGAAGCCATAAAAAACAGATAAAAATATTTGAATTAAAAATATAACAAAAAAACCTACAAAAAAAAACATACTTGATAGGCTCATAAGTGAAGTGGAGATGGCAAGCGACAGAGTTAGTGAACCTGAAAGCAGATCAACAGAAGTTACTCCATATATAAAACAGAGAAAATGAACTAAGAAAATGAATAGAGCCTCAAGGACCTGTGGAATAGTAACAAAAGATCTAAAATATATATCAGAATCTGACAAGAACAGAAAGAATTTGGGGCTAAAAAGTATTCAAAGAAATAAAGGCTAAAACTCTGGCCAGAAAGATGATGGAGTAGGAAGCCCCGAACCCTCCATCCCTTAAAAAATAAACTAATTCAGCAACAATTCACAAACAAATTTCTTAATAAGGAATTAGAAACTAATTGAAAGGCACTTGTAGACTCTGGGAGAATGCAAAATCAGACTCACCAAGCCAATATGGAGATTTGGCATACCCTTTCAACAAGGACACTGCCCCAGACCACTGCTATATGATCACAAAAAGACCCTCTGTATCCCAGCTTGATCCAGAGCATAAAGGTTTGTCCACACTCTCCAATTTTTCTGAAGGGGCTATCCAAAGAACTAGAACCTGTTTCACCTGTCTTGGAGCTCTAATGGGTTCAGCATAATCTAGCCATCCAGACAAAAATGGAGATGGTGACTTGGGCTAGCAGACACCATTGATTTCTCCCCCCATGTCCCCACAAAGCACATAGTAAATAGACAAAAAGATGCCAGCTCTGCTTCTCCTTGGGGAAGGAAAAAGTTGATCCATGTGTGCCGTTTTCTTTCTTCACCAAAACTGCCCAAAAATCAGCATCTCTCTCACCAATCCTAGAGCAAAGAAGGGCCAAGCACAATATAGTTGCCACGATAAGAATAGAGGCAGAAGCTTGGGAGGGTAGATGCTACTGATCCTCTCTCCTGCCTGACACAGACAGAGTGGGGAAAAAGACACAGATGCATGTTTCCCCTTGGAAAGATAAAGATTTGATAGAGGCCCCCCAAATCATTGGCCAGGATGACTTGTTAGGATCCTCTTCTGTACATGCCAGTCAGTAAAGACTGGACAAAGCAATTAGTTTTGTCTAATGAGCAGAGACCAAAGCAGAGTCAAGTAAAATGAAGAATCAGGAAAAGAAGTTTCAAACAAAGGAAGAAGATATCTCTAGAAACTGATTTTAATTAAATTAAATTAAATTAAATTAAATTAAATTAAATAATTTACCTCACAGAGAATTAAAAATGTTCACTGAGGTCAAGAGAACACTGCATGAACAAAGTGAGAATTTTTTTAAAAAAAGAGAAAATATTTTCTTAAATTATGAAACAGAGGATAGAATAAGATGGAGGAGAATGAGGGGGACCCTAAACTTGCCTTATCCTTTGAACACTGCTAAATAAATATCAAATCATTCTGAACACCGCAGAAATCACTCTGAGGACTGAGAGAACAAACTGCATATCTACAGGTAGAGAAGCAGTGACATTGTGGAAGGTAGGAGCTGCAGAGAGTTGATTTGGGGGAGAAAAGAACTGTGGGTGCTATGAAGGGGAGGGAACCTTGATCATGGATAGAGGAGTGAGAGAGAAAGAGAAAGAGAGAGAGAGAGAGAGAGTGAAAGAGTGTCCAGGGGATTGCACAAGAAAAACTGCCCCCAAACCACTGACTGAATAAAGGAGAAGGGCTGGCCAACCCAAGTTTTTGTAAGCAGCAGAGCTCAAAGTCTGAAGTTTTAGAAGTCTGAGCCATCACTGGGGTGGTGCCAGGTGGGCTTAGTGGTACTTCAGTGGGGAGGGAGGGCAGAAGCCCAGGAGCAGGCAGCATGGTCTGAGGATCCCATGGGTTGAATGGGGAAAAACAGTTCCCCTGCATTTGACAGTGGCAGAATGGCCTCTCCAAGGACAAAAGAATTAGTGGTGCAAATGTACTGCCTTTTTCACTAGCATAAGGACAGAAACACCAGCTGAGGGCAGCAAACCTTGACTTTACCACAAACTCTTAACAGCTGCGTGGTCATGTGACTGATTTTCTGGGACAAACTGGCACTGGCCACAGTGTGGCAAGACCCCTAGCAGATCAACATGGGTCTCCACCACACGGGTCCCTAAAATTTGGAATTTTGAAACCCAGCTGAGTACCTTTGTTAAGCACAAACTACTGTGCCACCTGGCAGGCAGATAGTTTGGACACTGACAGGGTGAAGACAGGGATCTGATGGAAGCTGGGGACACAAGAAGTGTGAAAGTTTGCAATTCTGTGAGGGCTTCTTGAAGAATGGCAGGTATGAACTAACCACTCCGGGGAGAAGAGAGTGGGATGATGTCATTCCTCCCCTCCCCCCCCCCGCCCCTGCTTCAGCAATGACCAACTTCAGTGAGCAACACAGCATCTCCCCCAGTGGAGACCAGAGCCACTTACACTAAGCCCTGACCCCATACACCCTGCAGGTATAACTCCACTATAGCAAGTCTGCCTGAGAATCAGTGCAGCAGGACCCTCCCCCAGAAGACCAGCACAAACTCCTTGCACACACCAAGTGCACTGATCATAGAGTGCTGAAAAACTTCAGCTTTAGCAGAAATAGAATACATTTCTTTTAATAAGGGGACCAAAACACACCTGGTTAAAACTTGCCACATAGTGGACAAGGTCCAAACACCTGCCACTGCAGGCAAGGAGAAACTGCAGAGGACTGACCTGAGGGAAAGAGCAGCCTAAACACAACAGCAGAGTAAACACTCTGAAACACCTCCTGAAGCACCCAAGACATTATAGGAACCTCTTTTTAGTATAACCATTACACTCAGGAGCAGGAATATAACAGGCTTTCCTAACAACCACACAAAAAAATCAGTGACCTAGACAAAATGACAAGATGGAAAAATTCACCCCAAAAGAAAGAACACAAGAAATAAGGGACAAGAATTTCATCAAATTTCTGTAAGTAAGATGCCTGAACCAGAATTTAAAACGATAATAAGGGCACTAGCTGGTTTGAGAAAAGCATAGAAGACGCTAGAGAATATCTTACCGCAGAGATAAAAGACCTAAAAACTAGTCAGGCTGAAATAAAAAATGGTATAACTAAGATACAAAACTGATCAGATGCAATGACAACAAGTATGGATAAAGAAGAGGAACAAATCAGTGATACAGAAGATAAAATTATAGAAAATAGTGAAGCTGAAAAGAGATAAAGAAAAGTATTGGAACACGAATGTAGATTAGGGAACTCAGTGATGACTTAAAGCATGGTAATATTCGTATCATAGAAGTCCTAGAAGAAGAGGGGGAATTGGAGGCAGAAGGTTTATTTGCACAAATCA